CATAAGATAATTCACCACGACCAAGTTGGATTCATTCCAGGGGCACAAGGATGGTTTAACATCCGAAAATCAATCAACGTTATCCAACACATCAACAAAAAGAAATATAAAAACCATATGATAATATCAATAGATGCTGAGAAAGCTTTCGACAAAGTGCAACACCTATTCATGATAAAAGCCTTTGAAATTCTTGGGATACAAGGAACATACCTCAACATCATAAAGGCCATCTATGACAAGCCAACAGCCAGTATCATTCTCAATGGTGAAAAGCTGAAAGCAATTCCATTAAGATCTGGAACAAGACAAGGATGTCCACTCTCACCACTGCTTTTCAATATAATACTGGAAGTCCTAGCCAGAGCAATAAGACAAGAGAAAGACATCCAAGGAATCCAAATAGGAAAAGAAGAAGTCAAACTATCACTATTTGCAGATGATATGATAATATACATAGAGAACCCCAAAATCTCCACAGAAAAACTAATTCAACTCATCAATCAATTCAGTAAAGTGGCAGGATACAAAATCAACACGCAAAAGTCAGTAGCCTTCCTATACACAAACAATAAATCTGAAGAAGAAGAAATCAAAAAAACCACCCCTTTTATTATCGAAACAAAAAAAATCAAATATTTGGGAATAAATCTAACAAAAGAGGTAAAGGACCTATACAAAGAAAACTATAAAACACTGTTAAAAGAAATAGAAGAAGACACAAAGAAATGGAAAGACATCCCCTGCTCATGGATTGGAAGAATAAACATTATTAAAATGGCCATCCTACCAAAAGCAATATACAGATTCAATGCTATTCCAATCAAAATCTCAATGGCATTCTTCAAAGAAATAGAACAATTATTGATGAAATTCATATGGAATCACCAAAAACCCCGAATAGCCAAAGCTCTACTGAAAAAAAAAGAAGGAAATGGAGGCATCACACTCCCAGACTTCAAACTATACTACAAAGCCATAATCATCAAAACTGCATGGTATTGGAACAAGAACAGACATACAGACCAATGGAATCGAATAGAAAATCCAGAAATAAACCCACAGATTTATGGTCAACTAATCTTTGACAAAGGAGCAAAGACTATGCATTGGAGCAAAGAAAGTTTGTTCAATAAATGGTGCTGGGAAAACTGGGTCGCTACATGCAAAAGAATGAAGCTTGACCACTACCTCACACCATACACAAAAATCAACTCAAAATGGATTAAAGAACTAGACATAAGACCTGAAACCATAAAATACATAGAAGGAAATATAGGCGAAACACTACGGGATTTGCACATCAAAGACATCTTTACAGACACATCACCCAAAGCAGTGATAGTGAAGAGAAAGATAAACAGCTGGGACTACATCAAATTAAAGAGCTTCTGCACAGCAAAAGAGACAATAACAAAAACAAAGAGAAACCCCACCAACTGGGAGAACATTTTTGCACCCAACACTAATGATAAAGGACTGATCACAAAAATCTGCAAAGAGCTGATGAGACTCAGCAACAACAAAGAAAATAATCCAGTCAAAAAATGGGCAGAAGAGCTAAAAAGAAACTTCTCTGAAGAGGAAATGCAAATGGCCAACAGACATATGAAAAAATGTTCAACATCACTTGTAATCAGGGAAATGCAAATCAAAACTACCATGAGATACCATCTCACACCAGTGAGAATGGCACATATTAAAAAAACTAGCAACAACAAATGTTGGCGAGGATGTGGAGAAAAAGGAACTCTTCTGCACTGTTGGTGGGAGTGCAAACTGGTCCAACCACTATGGAGAGCTGTGTGGAGATTTCTGGACCTACTAAACATAGAGCTTCCATATGATCCAGCAATTCCACTCCTAGGTATTTACCCAAAGGACACAGAAACATCAATTCCAAAGAGCACCTGCACTCCTATGTTTATAGCAGCACTGTTTACAATAGCTAAGCTTTGGAAACAACCCAAATGCCCAAAAATAGATGACTGGATCAAGAAGATGTGGTACATATATACCATGGAATATTACTCAGCATTCAAAAAAGATAAACACATGCAATTTGCAGCAACATGGATGGCACTGGAAGGGATCATGCTCAGCGAAATAAGCCAAAAAGAAAAAGAAAAATACCGGATGGTCTCACTCATAGCAGGAATCTAGAAAACTTAAATAAGGGACCAGGAAAATGAATATAAGAAAGTGAAAATCAAAATCAACAAAAAACTATGAACCAGAGACACTTTTTGGGGGGTGGGGGGCGGGAGGGGAAGGATTGGGGTCAGAATGGGGCGTTTGCAATTGTATGGGGGAATATAAAAATAAAATTTAATATTTAAAAAAAAAAAAAAAAAAAAAAAAGAATATAGGGAACAGAAAGCTAAGGGGTGCTGAAAGAACATCTGGTATTATTCAGGATTTGGTTGCACTCATAACTGAGTCTCTCACTTTTATGCCCTCTTGCCCTCTCTCTCTCCCGCCCATTCTTCCGCCTTCCCTCTCCTAGAGAGCTATCCCCTGACCTCTCCAGTACCACACATGACCTCTCCAGCAGGGCATGTAAGTGTAACCAGATGTTCAGTGCAACATATCCTCTCTTCTTGTTGACTCAGACTTTTGGATGCATCCCCCAAAACTCAAAACCACATTTCTAAAGATGCTGGACCACTCTTGCAATATTTACAAGGGTAGGGGTTGGCCTCTAGATACACCTCTAGCCCATACAAGAAGTTCAAGTGGGGAGTCAGGAGGGAGCATTTCTTTGGAAAGAGTTATTAGTGTAAAAAGCATTTCCCACTTACATACAACCCAAACAAAAGAGTCTTGAAGAAGACCATTTGAGAGCTGAAGGATGCATTCTCTGAAGTCTGAAGGGTGTGGAAGCTCATCTATGACTTACACTTGCCCCTGTTAGAATCTGTCTCAAGCTCATAGTAAGTGTCCAATAAATATTTGTTGAATGAAAGAATGAATAAGTGAATGAATGAATGAATGAATGAATGAACACCTGAAATCTTTGGTTAAAAAGTATAAAAGTGAGAGATATTACTAGAGCTAAAAGGAAGAAATAAGCATATTAGCTACATAACAGTTATGAACAGCATATATGGACATGCTTGCACAAAAATTTATGAAATAAGTGAATGAAGACAGTGAGGAAACTAAGACTACAAAGAATAGATATATGTTCATCATAGTAGAAACTCTGGCACAAAACCCATAATAGCCCAGGAGATTACCTTATCTTCCTTAAATAATCCTGACCTCAAATTAATCCTTAAGAAGTAGACAAATGAAAACTCGGGATACATTCTAGATATATATATAAAAAAAAAACTCTGGAGTTAAAAGTTGTCATCTCTGGTTGATGAAAGATTCTGGTTCTTGAGTCTTCATTTATTTGCCTTTGTCCTTCCTGTCATTCTTTCTTCTCCTCCTAATTTTTCTCCTTCAGCCTTCATCCAGTCCTTATTAAAGAGCACTTGTCAGCAGAAAGAAAAGGAGACTGTAGTCTAGCTCTTCCTCATCAACACTCAGAACTTTTTGCAGCATTGGCCAAAGAACCAGGTAAAGTGAACCTAATGCTGTTTTAGAAAGAAGTGTCATTTGTCTCTGCACATCAGCTCTTGTTTTAACAAGGCTTTGTTTGCTCATTGTGGAAAATCTTCCATTTTAATTAAGTAGTGAAAGTACATTTATAATCTATCCCATTACCACAGAACGAGTTCCTGAGTTACACACCCTATACCTGTGCTCCACTACTCCCCATAGTAAATGCCATGTTTCCATTAGCACATTTAGCACAGTTACACAGTAAGAGAGAAGCATGGATGTTCACACCAACATACACATTTGAAAGACTGAATCCAAACCAGAGCCATCCCGCTGTGCATTTGCCCTTGGACTTCGAACACTTCCCCAGTGTGAATTCCCTACCCCACCCAATGCTTTTGTGAAGGAAGAAGATCAAACCTGGCTCGAGGGGTGACCCAAACCAAACCCCACTGTACTTTCAATATCTAAGTGATCAAATGAAAGCAGCCAGGGTAAACAAGCTTAGGCTATGCAATTTTCCAGATCTATTTATCCAGTCCTCTTTGGAATAGTGAGGGAATCCGAGGCAAGGAAATTCCACAGGGCCCCATTTGAGTAGCCAAACCTTTGATATAACTTTCTGTTGCTCCTTGCTTCCCCATGCAAATCTCTCATTACTCCATCCAAATAACTTTCAAAACCACAGCTTCCTCTGTGTCTTGCAACAGAAAATCTGTGCACTTGTACGGGATAAGCGGTGTACTAAAGACCTGCCCTCACTCCCCCATCATTTGGAGGGCCTGAGTCCATCAATGGTTCAGTTCAGCCAGTTCGTGAATGGAGAAGGGAGATCAAAAGGACCAGAAATATTCATTTATGGGGGAAACTAAAAGAATTAAATACATAGAACTTGGCCAAATGACGCCTGAAGGGGGAAATAAATACCCATAAGCATTTGAAGGGTGTAACCAAACACCACAAAGAGGGATTTTTTTTTTTAAGATGGCTTTAACTGAGAGAGATGGAAAAAAAGCAAAGGAAATCCAGACTACTAAGAAAATTTACCTTAGGAAAGAGCTAGAAGGAACTGGTGTCCATACAAGCCCTGGCTAATACTTCTATTCTCTGAAATGTTTTCATTTCCAATCCATTTCTCAGATACATTTCTTTAGACTTAGATATATATGTTTGAATATTGCCTCTTGTGTCCCTATTTTCTATGCATTTTTTGTGTGTCCTTTGTTGCCTCTCATGTCTGTTTCTGTATTTCTCCTGTGTAATCCTGACAGTGTCATTTGGGAGTGACCTGGCTTTGTGTCATGCTAGGTCAGCAGGTGTGTGTCATTTATCAGAACAAACAGATAAGCTCAGTAGTGGTTATTTTAGGAATAAAAATCAAACTAAGAATCCCTCCATATTAGTGCCTTTATCATCTAAACAGATCTGAGGTAAGTTCTGGAACAGACCTAAGTGCTTCTCAGTCTTCTCCAAGCTCCCTGGAAGGAAGATGGGTGAAGTCAGTTGAATAGAGCCAGAAAATACATCTTCACAGATTTCTCCTGAGATACACTTTATAGTAAGTCCTTCGGGAATTTCTAGATGGAAAGAAATACGTACAGTGAGAACAGCATTTCTGAGTCTTTCAACACATTCCTGATGAGTTCAGTGCAAAAGTGAAAATTATTTTTTCAAGGAGCAAAGAAATTTCAGCAAAGGTTTGGTTTCAGTTAAACTAGAGATTCAGACTTCTCCATCACCTGGATAGTTTATAAAGGGCTCTAATTTTCCGTTATAACCTCTTCCTTGGCTCTAGCTCTACAGCAGAAGGAGCACTGGACCAGAAGAATATAGAGGACAAATCCCTCCACCACCAAAATACCTAGATGACCTTGGATAAGTCAGACTTCCTTTCCAGTTTCTTTACATGTGAAAGAGTGAATTAAGATAAACTGGTGTGATTTATCTTAAAATTTTTTCTTAGACAGCAAAATTGCTTTTTAATGTACCATTACCCAGAAGCCCAATAACAAAAACCAATCAAAGCCTTTCTGGTTAAAGCAAAACTGAATGGTCCAGACCTTGACCACTTATATCCCCCACTATAGTTCTTGACCCTCCAAAATTCCTCAGGCACCTGCACGGAATTCCATCCCTCCCCAGGGACAACATTTTGGAAGTCACTAAATTCCATGCTCCCTCATACCCTTTCTAACTCTTGTTCCTTATGGGTTTAAATGGCAGGTATTGGGGCCTCCCTGGTGGCACAAGGGGTTAAGCACCACACTATGAAGCAATCCACAGCCTCTGCAGCACAAGTTCAATCCTCAGCCGGCCAGGGAGCAACACACATGGTGAAGCAGACCTCCTCTGCTTCCCTCAGCAGTGTATTTCAGTCAGTCTGCCTGTTTTGTCTCTGGTGGATCCTCTCACCCTTCTACAGGCCTGCATCTCAGGCCTATACCCCAGCTCTTACATGCATAAATAAATAAATAAATCTTTTAAATAGATAGATAGATAAATAAATAAATAAATAAATAAATAAATAAATAAATAAATAAATGGCAGGAATCCAAGAATCGAGCTGGGCAGCAGGGATGCAGTTGACTCTACAGACACCACTGACAACAAGAGTTTAAAATGACTAAGGAACTCACCAGGTCCAAAGTCTCCTTTAAGGTTCAAAATTTAAAAAAAAAAAAAACCCAGAAGAGAGAAATGTGAGACATCTGAGGAAGTGTGAACCAATTCCTCTGAATCATATATGACAATATAAACCAATGTTACTGCAAATATTTTTTTCAAAAAGAGATAGCTGCGAGACAGAAACAAGAAACCTATTATCCAATCTCTCTCTCTCTCTCTCTCTCTCTCTCTCTCTCTCTCTCTCTCTCTCTCTCTCTCTCTCTCTCTCTCTCTCCCTCCTTTCCTCTCCTATTCCTCTCCCTGCATCTCTCTTCCTTTCCTCCCTCCTCATACTCCCCAAATCAAGGCCCAGTAAGAACCTAAAGGTTAGTAAAGTTGACTGAAACCATGTATCATAGAATATCAACCAGATAAATACATGTTCAGGTCAGGTAAGCCAGGGACTAGCGGGGAGGGGAGGTAAAGAAGCACACAAGGAAACTCTAAGCTAAGCACAAAGGTCCCATAGGAGGGAGTTCAGGTGCTCCCTGGGGGTTGGTGCCTACAGCCTCTGGTGTGAACATTCTAGGGAAAGTAAATTTGAATATTTTCCCCTAAAAGCTCCCCTGTCAATTTAGGTTGACTTCACAGAGATAAGGTATCACTCACCAATCAAGCACCTGGCTTGAGGATGATATTCTTACACACAGTTGCTGAATGTGTCTTTCCCCGAAGATGGTAATTTGACAATACCTATCAAAACTTAAAATCTGCATACCACTTGACACGGCCATTCCCTTGCAAGTATATCTTACAGACAGACTTCGGTGTGTGCACAGAAACAGCTCTGCAAGGATATTCATGTGGCACATCCAGCCATAAAGGACTGGAAACTACCTAAATACTGATAGATTGAGATGGGGAAAATATATTTGCATTTTCTCAAGCAATGGAACACTCTGTGGCCATTAAAAAAGGATGAGTCAACTCTATATGGCTGACAAGGAAAAAGCTGTAACATCTAATGTTAAGTGAAAAAAGCAAGGTGTAGACACTGTGTACAGAATGGTATATCTTATATGAAAGAATATGTACATATATATCTTTGCCTATTCACAGACTATTTTTCAAATACATACAAAGTGATAGCAATGGTTACTTTTAGGGAGAAAAATCAAGGTGGGAAAAGGTTTATAGCCATACCACCCTGAACGCGCCCTATATACTCAAGATGGGAGAAGGCGCAATCTTTCTGGGAGGAAAGGCCTTTCTTTAAATGCCCTGATTATATATCCTTTTATAATGTGCATATGAGCATTTCAAAGAAAACAAACAAAAAAATCTCTCAAATTGTTTTATCTTTCAACAACCATGTATACTTTAGGATAACTATTATCAGGGACTAGTATTAAACAGGCAAAGTAGCTGAGACACTAAGACCTTTACTACACACCTCGCTCTACTAAGCAGTAAGCAAAGTACAGAGCAGATCAGGTTTTAGTCAAGTCCTCGCCACCTTGATCAAGTCACTCATGCCTCTCTTCATTCACAAACTGACTCCATGGAATGAGTGGTCTCTAAACTTTCTCCCCTCCTCTAAGATGCATCGTCCCTGGCATGTCATGGTCATAAATTTGGGATTTATATTTCTTATCCCATGCCTGCTGACCAAGGTCACTTGTGTGACCTTGGGCAATATATCCAGTCTTCTAAAGTTAGATTTTCTTACTTGAAAAATATGGATACTAATTCTATCTGCCTCATAGGGTTTTATAAGAATTAAAAAGGCGGCTTTCCTAAAGTACTTAGCAACAGGGCACCCTCTATCTTATGTGCTCATCTCCAGATATCTCCAACCTTAGTTGCTAACTTGTATGTTATCAATCTCTCTAAACTGACCTCCTTACCCTGGTTATTTTCTATTTTACCATCTTGTTTTAGTCCTTAATAACATGAATCACAATTTGTAATTGCTGTGAACATTAATTTGTTTATTGTCCATCTCACCCCAAGTGGAATGCCAGCTCCATGAGGTTAGTGATTCTATTGTGCCCACCACTCTGTCTCTAGCCCCTACAGCACTAGGGGCTATAGCTGGTTCATAAAAATTTCTTGAATGAAAATGAATAAAAACGTGTTAGCTGCTAGTTGCTGGTTGCTGACCTTCCCAACAATTCCATTGCCAGAAAAGCCTGATGATACCTCTCTCCTAGACTGGAATGAAAATTGCTAGCTCTGCTATCGAGGAGGCTCAACACAGGTAAGCAATGTGCCAAAGTTACATAGCTAATGAGTGGCACACCTAGGAGAGGAAACCATCGTTTTTTTTGACTCCCAACTCTGTTCCCTCAGCCACTAGATTAATCTGGGCTACAGAATTCCCTTAACTGGAGTTACACACATACAAGCCCTGCCTGACTCCTAATTACATGCCTCAAACAACAATCATGTTCGACCTTTCAATTCTTCATTGCCTGAAACACCACTAATGGGAAATCCTATAATGAATGGGAAATCTCACTAATCTATGCCTTAGCACATTTATCCCCTGCCGTCCCCTCCTGCTGACCCTTTAAAGGTCTTTGCTGGAGGCAGAAAACAGAGGATCTTCTTGAGTTGTGCAACAATGCTTTGAAACACCCCAGTTGAAGCTTTGAATTACAATTATCAAAGAGCAAAAGTGACTAGTTGTCATTTGAATATCACCAAAGTCATAAGAAGTAGTCACATGGAAAGTCGTATTACATTTGGAGAAGGAAACAGAAGCAACTGAAAAGAAACACTGAAACTTTGGAGCCTGATTAATGGCTCTCTGTGTTGTCATTTTTGAGGTTATGTAAAGTTTATGAACGTTGCTTGCCTTAATGCTATTGTTGTTCTGTGCTATTCAGCATTTATAAAGTTCTTGGCTATAAAGCCCACAAAAATATTAGAAGCTGTGAATAATTCCTTTGTTTTGAGATATAAGTTCTACCACTGGCAAGCAGGAAAAACCTTTTTGACACAAAGCTTGGGGGAAGAGAGACGTAAACAATGCCTTGGCCTGGATACCAGCAATGGGTAGAACTGGGTTAGAAGAGAAAATCACATAAGAAGCAAGCACTTATTCATGACTAACTGACCACATGCATGTTCTGAGGAAGAAGCCTTGGAAGCCCATGTTAGCAACATTCAGCAAGAAAAAACCTTTATATTTATGATTTCTGATTTCTACAACAGAATGGGAAGACAATAGCATGCTTGAACTCAAAATACAAGAAGCATATTCTGTTAGCTTAAAAAAAAAAATCAGTTCCTGGGCCTCCCCAGTGGCGCAGCGATTGAGCGCTGGCTTGCAAAGCTGCCTGCAGCCTCTGCAGCACCGGTTCGATCCCCGGCCGCTGGCAAGGGTCCCACTTGGCGTACAGACCTCTCCTGCCACCCGCTGCTCCCCTCAGTAGTGTACTGCGTCAGTCTGCCTGCTCTGCTCTCTGCTCTGGCTCTGGTGAATTCTCTCACCCTCCCGCGCTTCTGACTGTACCCAGTGCTTTTATAAATAAATAAATAAATCTTTAAAAAAAAAATCAGTTCCTGGTCCAATCCTTATGAAAGGCAGTATGGAGGTGTCTCAATACATTATACAAGGATCTGTCATTGGACCCAGTAATTCCACACATAGGCATCTATCAAAAAAAAACTCAAAAACATTAATTTGAAAAGAAACTTGCACTCCCACTTTTACTGCAGCACTATTTACTATAGCTACACTATGGAAACCACCTAAGTGCCCAGAGAGTGGATCAAGAAGATGTGATATATAGACACAATGGAATACTATTCTGTGATCAAAAAAGATAAACTCACGCCATGTGTGGCAGCATGGATGGAGCTGGAAGGGATTATGCTCAGCGAAATAAGTCAGAAGGAGAAAGACAAATACCAGATGGTGTCACTGATATGGAGAATATAAAGTAACTAAATTAATAGTCAGATA